CTAGAGCACCAGCCAGCAGGTGAGGCTGCTGTGAGACTGATTCAAAACTCTGTACTGAATTCAGTGTTCGGAGGGTGTTGAAATGGACTAAGGAGATCCTTAGTAGGAATTCAATAAATTAATTGAATAGAGATAAGAAAGGGTCAGTAGTGAAGACCAAATTTCAAAGTTTGGGATCACAGGAAGGTAAAAGACTAGATGTTGTTTTTTAAAAAGTCCAGAAAGCAGTGTACTGTGTGCTGGGTGAGGGGACAGGGAGGAATTCTGTGGGGAGAGGGGTACTGGAGATTGAACCCAGGAGCGCTGTACCACTGAGCTACATCCCCAGTCCGCATTTATGTAGGTCAGTTTTTATTTATTTATGTGTGAGAGAGAGTCTCATTAAACTGCCCAGGCTCCAACTTGCAATTCTCCTGTTTCAGTCACTCAACTTGTTGGGATTTCAGACATAAGCCACAGGTGATATAAAATTTTTAGGATAAGCCAGGTGTGGTGGCTCACGCCTGTAATCGCAGCATTCGGGAGGTTGAGGCAGGAGTATCGTTGCGAGTTTGAGACCAGCCTGGACTACAAGGTGAGCTCAAGGCCAGCCTGAACTGCACAGCAAGACTCTATCTCAAAAAGACAAAAAGACAAAAAAAAAAAAAGATTTTTAGGATAGATTTATCCATAGTTTATAGATGAGAAAACCAAAGCTTGGTGAGACTTGTGCATGGTCCTCTATCCTATATGCTACTCTAAGATGGATATATGGCATTATATATTTTCCAAAACATATGGAACCCAGGACATCAAGAGCGAACTCTAGTGTAAAGCGGGCTTCGTGTGCTAATGGCATGACCACGCTGGTTCACAGGCGGTGATTGATGGTGAGGGAGGCTAGACAAGTGTGGAGAGGAGCTACATGGAATACTTAGTGCTTCCCACCCAGTTATGTTGTAAACCTTCAAACAAACAAACAAACAAAACAAAACAAAAAACAACTTTTGCCAGTCACGGTGGCTTATACCTGTAATCCTAGTTACTCAGGAGGCTGAGGCAGGAGAATCAAAAGTTTGTGGCTAGCCTGTGCCTGTTAATGAGATGTTGTCCCAAAGTGAAAAGGTCTGGGGATGTAACCCCGTGGTGGGACACTTACCCGGTATGCTCAAGGCTTTGGGTTTAAACCTGAGTCCTCGAAATAAAGAAAGTCTATAACAAAAGGGTACAGGAGAATTGCAAAATCTACATATTGCAGGAAAACTGTACAGAAATATTTCATGTTTATATAAATGGAAATTCCATTCCTTAAGAATAAAGGGTAAAATGTTTTAAAATGCTGCATATTCTTAGCATGACACAAAAAACCCAAGGCACTCTAACAAGGTGGCTGGGACCCTTAACTCCAGAATGAAAAGACCCGCTTTGACTCTCAGCTGTCATTGGTTAATTCTCATCACTACACTAGGTCTGTTTTCTCAGCTGCAAAAACGTCGGGGTTGGGGCTCAGGGTGTGCCTCAGTGGTAGAGTCTTGGCCTTGCATGCATCAGGGCCTGTGTTGGATTCCCAGCACCACACACACACACACACACACACACACACACACACACCATCCAGGGGTTGGTGTGTGACATCCACAGCGCCTCTGTGTTTGCCATGTCTGTGCCTATATTTGCAGGGAGTCTAACATGACAAATAGATGCGCAGAGCCTGGAGTTAGAACACTTAGTTAAATCTCAGCACTTCATACCCAAGCTGGGTGACCATGCACAAGACTCACCAAGCTTCGGTTTCCTCATCGGTAAACTACGGATAATAATAGTAAATACTTTTTTTGTCTTTTTTCTTTTTTATCAGTACCAGGGATCGAACTCACGACTGCCTGCTTGCAAGGCAGGAGCTTATGCCACTGAGCTAAATCCCCAGCCCCAATAATAGTAAATACTGTCCTAGGTGATTGTGAAGAATCAAAAAACAATCTCTAAAGAGTACCTGAAACCGCGAACACTAGAACCCGTTATTCTGAAACCTTTTGCCACCACTGAGAGCACACAACCCTGCACCTACATGTATTGCAAAGAACAGAAGGTAAATGGAATTAACCCATCGAAGGTGTCCAGGTTTCCCTTTTGAGCAGGAATGAAAGGAATCTTAAAAGGTTCTGAGGGGTCAGGACCTCGGGGTTATGATTCAGCCACAGTCAACTGTCAAATTTTCCCACAGCTCAGTGGAAAGTCACTGAAAATGCCATAAAAATAGATCCACCCCTCCTTCAGCGTTACTCTGTGAGGATGCTCCGCTGACTCGGGAGGTCTGAGATACTGCTCTGGTGTCCCAGCAGGGACAGGGATCTAAGTGGACCTAAAGTAGATATTTCCAACCGAAATACTATGCATCTCCAACTGCTTTTGCTTATGCTGTGGGACTCAAGCCTGTGAGACCATGTTGTCAGCCCAGCTGCAAGGCTGACCAGGAAAAGTTCGTGGTCTAAATTGTTTTTCAGGCAGAAAACAAGGACATAGTAACTATCACAGGTTATTTCAGAACTCAGAATCTCAAGGGTCAGTCCCCTAGATTGCCTTCTGTCTCTGTGCATGAAGAACACAGATGCCGTGCATGTCAGGATACCCCAAAACAAAACCCACCGTCCCGTATAACTAACACTCGCTAATAACAAAAAGAATGCAGACTCTGGGCTGGGGGTGTAGGGTCCTTCGCAGCCTGCACGAGGCCCTGGGTTTGATCCCTGACACTGGGGTGAAGGGATAGGAACCCCATGACAGAGCATATGTTAACCATAGTCACTAAGATTAAAATTTCAACACCAGCAGAAGTTTTGTCTGATCGTGTAATCATCCACAGCTTAAAGAGAAGTCGAAACGTCCAATATTTGCCTGTTCTAATATCTTTCAAAATCTTCTTGGATCACGTTCCCAAATTTGAGTTCAAGATTTTTTGTTCTCACTCTTGTTTCTTGTTTCTCTCTTTCTAGCCTCCTGGAGGATGCCTGCAGCCCGCCCTGCGTCATGACGTTCAAGTGAAGAGGGGTTGGTGGCCCAACGCGAAGCCCTTTGACTTCTTTCTATTTCTTTCAAAAGGAGAGACAGCAGGGATCAAAGCTGCTCTGGATTTCCCCCTGTGCTGAGCTCTACTGAGTACAAGAGCAGGCTTTGAAACCTAAACCTCTTGCTAGACTTTTGATGCCAGACATTGGTCCTTATAACATCCTTCTCTTTTCTTTAAAAAAATGTGTATATAGTTGTTGCATTTAATTAACACATAAAAGTTTTACATATACACTATATGTGGTTTTTTTTTTTTTTTTTTGAAACAGATTTCACTCTGCAGTTCAGCTGGCCTTGAACTCACTATGTGGTCCAGGCTAGCTCTGAACTTTTAGCAATCCTCCTGCCTCAGGCTCCCAAGTGCTGGGATTCCAGCATGCGCCACCACACCGGGTCCCATGTAATGTTCTGTTACATGAATATATTATACAGTGTTTAAATCAGGTATGGGTACCTATCTTCTCACATATTTATTATCTCTTTAACTAAAAAAATACTTAAAATTCTTTGTTTCTAGCTTTCCTGAAATACAAGGCATATTATCATTATCTAGAGTCGCCTGACTGCGCAATAGAACACCAGAATTTATTTTTTCTACCTAACCATGACTTAGTCCCGGTAACCAGTGTTTCTCCTTTCCAGCTTCCTCACTCCCCTCCGCAGCTGGTAACCATTACAACCCTCCGCTTCTATCAGATCAACCCTTTCAGATTGCACCAGAGTGAGATCACGTGAAAGCGGTTTCTCTGTGCTGGACTTTATTTCACTTAGAGTGATTACCTGCAGTTCCATTCACATCACAAACAAATGGATGTCATCCTTCTTACATCTGAATAGGATTCCATTGTGTTCATTTTTTTTTTTTGAGGAGATGAATAATTTTTTTTTTTCATTTTAAAGAGTAAAATTAAACAGAACAAAACAGATCATAAAGAAACAATTTTAAGAGACACAGATTTCAAAGCAAGATTACTAGCGATCTTCACTGTCTATCATACTGTCTCTTGTTTTCTTCCAAATAGTTGTCCCATCTTCACGCACAGTGAATACATACAGAACAATATAGTACTAAACTAATCAGAACAGGATGATGAAGACATTTTAGGTCTTCAAGACCAGACGTTAAGGACATTGTATTTATAGATACATTTTTTTTCCTTTTCGGGGGTGAGGGAGAATTGGGGATTGGACCCGGGTCTTCTTTACACTAAGCTACATTATGAGGTCTTTTATTTTTTTTGTCTTTTTCCTTTTTATCGGTACCGGGGATCGAACTCACGACTGCCTGCTTGCAAGGCAGGCGCTTATGCCGCTGAGCTAAATCCCCAGCCCCTCATTATGAGGTCTTTTTAAAAACTTTAATTTTGAGACCAGGTTTCATTGAAATTTGCCCAGACTGTGCTCAAATTTATGATCCTCGTGCCTCAGCCTCCCAGAGTGCCAGGATTATAGGCCGGCACCACCGTGCCTGATTTTTCCTGTCTTTTCTTTTCTCCTTTTTTTCCTTATTTTCTTCCTTCCTTCCTTCCTTCTCTCTTCCCTCACTCCCTCTCATTTTTCCACTGAATGTCATCCCAGTCCTTTAAAAAATATTTCACTCAGGGCCAGGGGTTTAGCTCAGTGGTGTAAGTGCCTGCCTGGCAAGCACGAGGCTTTAAGTTCAATCCCTGGTACTAAAAAATAAAATAAAATAAATTTATTTCTGAGATAGAGTCCCACTAAACTGGGCTCAAAGCTGTGATTCTCCTGCCTCAGCCCCCTCAGTAGCTGGGATTACAGGCATACGCCACTGTGCCTATGTACAGTATATATTCTTCATGCACTCACTGGTCAGTGACAGATGCTTAGGTATTTCCACTTCCTTCTTGGCTATTTGAATAGATAATGTTGCAACAAGCATGGGTGTGTAACTCTCTTCATATAGATCTCACTTCCTGCAGACACCTCCCCAGTCACAGCCTCGCGGAATCACGGTGGCTGAACTAAATCACACCCTACCCATAACGCACAGGGCTCCCTTTTCTCCACAGCCTCACCAGGGTTTGTGATCTTCTGTCTTCTCAGGTAAATCCATTCTAAAACAAAGGTTTTATAAATAAGGAGAGGGAGCGGGGTTGAAGGGAGGGTTAGCAGAATGGGAAGAAAAGAATCAAGTTATATCACACACAAGTGCAAATTCCCTATGATTATAGTGATCACTGTGTATACCTAAAGGAACCAATGAACTTAATTAATAAAAAGAAATAATAGCCATTCTATCTGGTATGTCATTGAGATTTTGATTTACATTTCCCTGATAATTAACTGGTGATGTGGAGTATTTATATATATATATACTGTGTTGATTATTCCTATGTTTTCCTTCGGTGTCTGTTTATATCTGTTGCCCATTTTAAAATCGGATTATTTGGCTTTTGCTGTGTTGCTATTGAGTTATTTAGGTCCTTCCATAGTCTGAATCCCTTATCACACTATAGTTTGCAAATATTTTCTCTCACTGTAGGTTGTCTCTTCACTGCATATTTTGCAGAAGTTTTCAGCTTGATGTCATCCCATTTATCTGTTCTTGCTTTTGTTTCACGTGCTTCTGAAGCCTTTTCTAACATATCCTCACCCATCTATATCTATATTTTCTTCTAGTAGTTTCATAGTTTCAGGTCTTACATTTCAGTCTGTAATCCATTCTGAGTTGATTTTTTTGTAGGAGGTAGGAGAAAGGGTCTAGTTTCATACTTCTGCATTTTAGGGGTCCTGGCACCTCCATTCTGAAAATGTCTGCCCTCGGGACTACAACCTCTTTGTTTGCTTTTTTGTTTTTAGATCAAGTCTACTTTTTTCAGAAAAATCTGTTCCATGGTACTTGAAATGCCAAATAATGTACAAGTCTTTTTAGATAAAGCAAAGCCCAGTCCCTCAGTTTATATGGGCACTCATGGACAGAGGTCAAGCCCCAAATGTACACTTCCCTGAACCCTCTTCCATACGGACCCCATTAAACCAGGACACATCTTATTTATTTTTTAATTTAATTTTATCGGTACCAGGGATCAAACTCACAACTGCGCGCTTGCAAGGCAGGCGCTTATGCCACTGAGCTAAGTCCCCAGCCCCCCAAACATCTTATTTAAAAACAAAGCAAAGGGCTAGAGACTTTCACTGAAGGAGGGCGGCCCATGGGAGGTCAGAACCAGGCACGGCTGAGGATGTGGGGTAGGAGAGGGCTTGCTTAGCATGAGCAGTAGACTCTGGACTCAATCCCTAGCAACCGCCTGCCCCACAGCAAACAGCCCTGGTGATGAGAGGCTCCGGGAAGGCAGAAGGTCCAGCGAGGCCCTCAGTTAGGTCATCATGGAGCTGGTGCTATAGGATGGGCAGCAGGCAGGAGAGCTTTGAGAGGAACTGTCCTTGGCCTCCTTGAAAATCTCGCCCCCGTCAAACAGATCCAAGTGTTCTTCTAGATCTTATTATTTCTACAGCTGCGACTTAAGTGCTGCTTATCTTTCCTCCAGGAGATTCCTTGGACTGAAACCAATGGGAGTCCAGGCTTCGCGAGAGTCTCATCAGAGCAGATGGGCCAGCAGCAGCCAGAAAGCTTGTTGCCTTTGGCTGCGAGCACCATCCTGGAAGTGGACATTCTTGGGAGTAAACCCCAGCAGGCGCGGCCTCGGCCTCAGTGAAGTGCCCTGCTCCTCCTTGAAGAGGACTTCGTGTCCCCCCGCGTCTTCCCTCCCTCTTGCACATGTTAAAAATCACATTCCCAGAGTACTCTGCAGCTCAGAATCACGTTGCCTCTGAGCGTCCCCAGGAGGACAGCTTTTTCGTGCTTTTGGTTCCTTGATCCCTGGGAAGCGCATGGCATGGAGGGTCAGGAGACTTGGATTCTGGTTACTGTGCAGTTGCTAAATTTTCCCGGGACCAGTTTCCGTGGGACTGAGTTGTTCCTCCCTGTGCTACGGTTTCCTCAGCTGTGAGGTTGTTTATCAGAATAGCTGCCACTTATGAAATGGGCACTGTGTACCAGACATTATCTCACTCACATGACATATGTATTATTATTGCCCTACTTTACGGATAATGAAACTGAGGCTTATAAATCTCGTTAACTAGCCTATTTAAACTGTCAATCCTGTTCAAGCACGGTAACATGCTCATAATCCCTGCTACTTGGGAGGCTAAGTTAGGAGGATCATTTGCATCCAGGAACTTAAGAGCAGTCTGAGAAATACAATACTATGCTTTTTTTTAAAAACTTGCCCACATGCCTGTGATGCTAGAACTCAGGAGGCTGAGGCAGGAGGATTGGCATATAGCCATCCTGGGCAACATAGTGAGTTCACAGCCAATCTGAACTACATAGCAAGACCCCGTCTCACCTCATCCCCTCCAAAAAAGTTGCCAGTCCCTACCCCTGGCAGATACTCCTTTTTCTACTTTATTTTAACTTTGACATTTAGTACCACATGAAATGTGACATATTTTACTTTTTTTGTTTGCCTTCACCCTTAAAAGATAGTAAGCTTTATTAAAGAAATGGATTTTGACTTTTTGTTGTTGTTGTTATTATTATTATTATTATTATTATTATCATTATTCGTTTCCTGGGTCTCCAAGGCCTAGAACTGTGCCTGGCACATAGTAGGCACTCCAATGTTGCTTGAGTGAAAAACTGTTGATGATTTCTTTACAGGAATATAGACTGATACAGACTGTAGGGAAGTCAGTTTAGCCGTGGTAGTGTTCAATGTGCACTCACCTTGGATCCTGCCCCACCGAACTAAGACTTCATCCTATATATTCATGAACGTGCCTAAGGCTGTAAGTGCAGAGCTATTTACTGTAACACTGTTTGCTAGAAAAAAAAAAGCTAGAAACAACCAATATACTCATCAATAAGGAGAAATTGTTAAAAAAAAAAATTTAGGTCCTTACATTGGATTCCACATATAGGCGGGAAGGAAGACAGTAAATCTGCATGTTCAGTACTGATGCACGGCAGCCTGGGGGATGCATTCCTAAGGGAAGAAGAGGAAAGTGAAGAACAGTGGATCAATTCACTCTGTTTAGATTTTAAGAGATATTTGTTTATGCTTGAACTATTTTTAGAAGACAAAAACAAATAATTGCTGCTGAGGAGGAGACCAGAAATTCCAGGTGGGGGGTAGAGAATGTATCCTTGGTAAGATAATTCACAGCCAGGCTTGGTGGCTCACACCTGTAATCCCAGCATCGGGAGGCTGAGGCCAGGAGGATCGTTGCAAGTTCGAGACCAGCCTGGGCTACAAAGTGAGCTGAAGCCAGCCTGAACTCCATAGCGAGACCTCCTCTCAAAAAGCCAAAGGGGGGGGGGAGATGTAATTCACAAACCATAAGACCATACAATTACATGTAATTCAACAGCTTTTGGTATATTAATTTTTGAAGATTTTATATACATATCATAAATTTTTCTAGTTTATCCCCTTTAAAGTATAGTATATCATTGAAATGCATTCATTACATTGACAATATTGTGTGAACATGGCCAAAATTTGCAAAACTCTTTCATTACCCTAAATAGAAAAACGCTGTAACCATTATAATATGATCTTTTATAGTATTTGATTTTTTAAAAATGGTATGCGTATTACTTTTTTATTTTGAAAATTAAAGACAGCATATTGGAGGCAGATAACTTAGTTACTTGCCTAAGTTCTCACGGCTCACGTTCTATAGTAGCCACCTTGAGTTTTATTCTAAAATATTAAAAAGTTCTTACAAAGGGTCAAATTGTAGTCATCCTTCTGGGTACATGAAGAGAATTTTGCTTTCATCTAGCCCCGTCCTTTTATGAGTGAGATGACAGAATCAGAGGGGCAAAGTGGCCACCCCAAGTCAGGAAGCCATCAGCAGCAGGCCTCCCAATGCAAGGGACCGTATTCAGAGTAGGTGACACGACAGATCTTTTGCTCTCTGACAAAGAGTGGGGTGTGCTGGGCACGATGCTGCACACCTGTAATCCCCGCTCTTGGGAGGCTGAGGCAGGAGGATAGCCAGGAGTGCAGACCAGCCTTGGCTACATAAGTGAGTTCAAGGCCAGTTTGCACTACATAATAAGAGCCTGTCTCGAAAAACAAAATAAAACAAAGCAAAACAATCAAAACATTTGGCTACCTCTTATACATCCCATGTACCAGTATGGTGATAGAGGCTGGGACCCTGATGTCACTATTTCTGTATGTTGAAAATTATACAGTACGTCTGCAAGGCCTATTTCAAATTCTGTTTCTAGGAAAATTTGTCTCATTGCACTCTGCATCCAAATCCCCATTTAGTTCTTTACTCATAACACTATTATTCAGAACACACAATTAGCAAGCAGAGAATGGTGTGAAACATTGTATTTTAGCAGTGTGGGTTTTCTGAGTCCCTTCCACCCACCGCTGGTGTAAGCTCCGGGAGGACCAGTGTTGAACAGCAGATGCCCTGAGGCACGTCCCCAGGAGAGGGTTGTTGGCTGATCGGACTGAGCTGTGTCATTTGGGGAAAAAAAGCCAACCAACCAAACAAACAAACAAAACACTGATTGTAGACATTATCTCTGCACAAGTTTTTTCTGCTCTGCCCACCAGAGCCACCGACCAGGTCACAGAACATCAGAACCGAAGCCGATGTGGCTTCCCTTGGTGAAAGCCAGGCGCTGTGATTTCTGTCATTTACTTATCCTGGCATTAACGGCACCTTCGCTTTTGTAATTATTTGGTCACTGTTCTGTATTCCTCTCTTCTGCCCTTGAAAACATGGGCCATACCTGCCTTCACTCATCAGGGGGTCTTTAGCACCGAGCCTCGACCCTAATAAGGCTTAGCAAGCATTTGTAGACCTGCTGGATGAATGAATAGGACACTTTATCAGTAAGGAAACAGAGGCCCAAGGAGATCGGGTCCCTTGTGGCAGAGCTGGGCAAGTAGGCAAATCTGCTGATTCCCCAGCCAGCCAGCATCCTGTCTATGTTCTTTGGCGTCTTTCAGTGTTGGAGTTGGAAAGCCTTGATCTAGTCCAACCGTTTGACTTGTAAGATGGGAAACAGGTCTAGAGAGAAGAAAGGCTTGCCCCAGATCACAGAAAGAGGCACTGGCAGAGCCGAGCCAGGTACCCAGGTCTCCCGACTCCCAACCTAGCGCTCTTTGTAAAAACACAGCAAAAACAAAGCAGCCTTAGGCTTCCTGCCAAGGCCCTGCAGGAGGTCACATAGCCGAGCAGCTCTCCGAGTTCCTGGTCTATTCTTAGCCTGAACTTTTAGTGACTCTGATCTTCAGCAGCCTTTTTTCCTCCTCTTTCCTTTGCATTTGGCTTGTTGTGTATATGCAATGTGTGTTTTAAATAAATGGTTCTACGTGTAGGAAGGAGCTTCGGCCCGGTGCTGCTCACAGAGGCCCTGAAAAGAACAAACGTGAGAGAAGGGGCCCTGAGAAAACAATCCGTTTCCCTTCCTCTGAAGTGACCCCGTGTCCCAGCGCTGCCCTCTACTGCCTGTCACAACTGCCAACATGGGCTGAACCTCTCACACAATAGGAAATCGCCAGAAAGAATTTGCAAGGAGGCCTGGCTGTCGGGATTGGCCGCTGAAAGCTCATTTTGGTGCAGACCAAAAACCAGCTCTTCCAAGCTACAGTCTCTCTGCTAACAGTCACTTTAATTTCCCATGAATGAAAACTTCTTTTTGTTGTTTGTTTGTTTGTTGAGACAGGGTCTCATTATGTAGGTCAGGCTGGCCTCAAATTCACAGGAATCCTCCTGCCTCAGCTTCCAGAGTATTAGGATTACACTCATGAAAATCTTTTTCTAACATAATTCTAGTCTCTCTAAGTCTACCTGTCTCTACCTCTGCTTAGCCCTGAACAGAGACACAAAAATTTAAACTGCTTCTGACCTGCTGTTGCTTGGGAAAGAACAAAAACCACAGAGAACAGAAGACAACTGATGTCACCAATGTGCCAATCAACCTGTGAGAAGAACAAGCCGACATCAGGCTGGAATGAGGCTGAGATTCCTCTGGGCAAAGCTAAGTCAAGGAAAATTCAAGGGAGGAGCTTCAGCCAGGTCTTGTGTAGTAGTTATGTATTGTGGTGCGTCCTACTGCCCTTTGGGAATTAGTTGTCTATTACTGTGTCAAAAGTTACTTTAATATTTAGTGGCTTAAGACAATAAACGTACTAGCTGACAGTTTGCATGGGTCAAGAATCCTGCTTGCACCCAAGTGCTCAGCCTAAAGGTCCATTCAAGATCGGGGAGGGGGTCTGGTTTCAAGCTCCTTAAAGTGGTCTTTGGCAAATCTGGGTCACTTCTGATGCAGGCTGTAAGATTGAGCGTTGACTTCTCTCGGGGTGAGAATTTAAACAGAGTGACTGTGAGGAATCACTGTCTGCCCAAAGCCCAGAGGCGTCTAAGGACACCGAGGATGTGACTCAGCTTGTCTAGCACAGGTGCACAGTGGGGTACAGTTATGCATCCATGACAGCGCAGGTAAACGCGCATGTGCTGGTTACGGCCCCATGTAAGGATGTAAACACGGGATAACAACCTGTGTGAGACCACACAGTGAAGTCGCAGCGGCTCTGCTGTGGCTCTCTGCTCTGCCCGCGGTGTCTGCTTTCGTTGCTGATGTCCCCACATGTGTGTTCTTTAACCTTGGGCCCTCGCCCTTGAAAATCTCCCATGGGCCCACCGAGTGGTGGTGATGACTAAGATGGAAAGTACAGTCCTTTCTAACCTAACTTTAGAAGCGATGCTCGGCCCTGTCACTGTATGCACAGTGCTTGATGTAACAACTTTTTTTCAGCTTTACGGTGCTGTGAAAGCAGACCTGTAAAACCATTCTGTTTTTTACGTCCTGTACAGTACTCAATAAATTATATCAGCTATTCAAGACTTTATTGTAAAATACGCTTTGTGTTAGATGATTTTACCCAATCAGAGGCTAACTGAAGTGTCCTAGGTACATTTAAGGTAGGCTAGGCTAAACTGTAATTTTGGCAGGTTAGGTATTTTAAATCCATTTTGACTTAATGTTATTTGTAATTTGTGATGGGTTTACTAGGATGTACTTTGGTTGTCAAATCAAGAAGTATTGATGGATTGATTGTGGTCCTGGGGATTGAACCAGAGCTTTTCACTGAGCTGCAGTAAAGGCTGGTGTGTAACAGATGATCAAAAAAAAAAGTTTTTGGGGCTGGGGATTTAGCTCAGCCGCATAAGCGCCTGCCTTGCAAGCAGGCAGTCGTGAGTTTGATCCCTGGTACCGATAAAAACAACGAAAAAGACAAAAAAAAAAAAAAAAAGTTTTTGACTGAAGACACCTGTGAGGTTAATTTTGTAAGGAACATGTATATCTTGATTGGATGCTCCAAAATTAATCATGTGGGCATCTTTGGATTTGAATTCTGTCAGAAATATAAAACTAAATCTGGTAACTTCATTATTCCTTACAAATTAACTTCACAGGTTTGTCCTTTGTTTCTAAGAAATCATTTACACAGCACATTTCAAAGTGGGAAGTTCAGCT